AAGTCAGAACCTGACGTGACATACTTTTCCCGATTTCCTCTCGTAACGAGTGATATATGCGCTCTCCCGTGCCAGTAGCACTCAAAGAGCATGTTCCTCAGAGTCATCGTCAAAGTTTTCTTTCTACCACATAAATCCCAAGGCATGTTCGATGTCCTGTGCCAAGCCACACGGAATTTCGACCGCACATAACCTCTCCACGACAAGCCTCATGCCGTACTTCGGCAAGCAAGCCGTCAAGGTGAAGCAACCCAAAGCCAATCCATTGGGAGGGGAGGTTTGTCTCGATTGAGCATCCCACAACGAGAGGAATGGTGTTTTTTGGGAACTCCTGAGGCTTTAAGTTTTCGACCGGGTTGGAAACGAGTGATCTTCAGGTACGTAGAGCCGGAGAGGGTCCCAAGGGCCAAGCCGGGAAATGTAGCCTTACTTTACCCTTGAACTATAAGACGTTGAAATCCATACAGGTGAGTTTAAGTGTCCGCCCCTTCCGCGGCAAGTCTTTTGGGTGTGCCAGATTGGGCGAGGCAATGGCATACTCGCAGTAGCTATGATCAGGACCATGCCCCTAATAGCTGGTTCAAAAATGGTGCAAGGCCTTCAAGACAGCCAGTACGTGAAGCTGGGAATTGACTTCTTAATAATGTTTGGTACGATTGAACAGCAGACATAGGTGTCGAAGAGCAGCTGTGGGAGACTGCCGGACCTGGTAAGGGACCTTGAGATATCCAAGCCCTCGGTTCAGGGCAAGAGCTTATGCGATTAAGCTTTGAGTTGCGGATCTTATTTACACAAATCAAACGGTGCGGGAGCTTTCCATAGGCTCGGGATTACCCTGACGGTCAACTTCACCTTAAAATCCCCTCACGACAACACGGTAGCAACCTGGCACCCCCCGGGACCCGCATCATAGCTCTTGATCGTGAGTGGACTTTGTGGCAACGAGCCGTAAAATCGTCGCCCGATCCAAGACCTATCTCACACTTTGGGTCCCCAGCGCCACCTGGCTGGACAGAAGTACCGTATATAATGCAGTCTTCTCTCCCCCTAGAAGTTGTTCCTCTTCTCATCTCATCCACCATTCACTACACTCTGCAGTCTGGGCTTTGCTTTCATCTGCTCTTACTCTACTCTCACACGATCCTGAACCCCAAGCAGTTTCGTCTTTTTACTTGCTGGTCTAGCTACTTCTGTTTATCAGAGTACCTACTTACCTCTTTCTTCTCCGTCACATCGTCAGTCGTCTTCTTACAATGTCTTCTTCCACCCAGTCAACTGTTTCTCCCGTCATGGCGTCAGAGCAGCTTGTCAAGAAGATGTTGGGCGCAGATGTGACCTTTGGCCCTGGCCTGGAGGTTAAGGACATCGTCATTCCTCCCACCACCCTCTCTGGAAGCATCCCTTACCTCACCAACTTCCACGAGCACCAATACTCCTCCATGATGTTGGCAAACGTGGTCAGACTCCACTGGCGCAATCCTACTGCAACGGCCATGCTCACGTATCGTGATGCCTCCAAGTGCCGCGAGGTTGCCCGCCGCTTCAACGACGGAGAATTTGGAGTCTGCGGGAAATACGTCAAGGCGACATTCCTTACCGGCCAGCGCGGTCCACAGCTTCAGCTCATTAGACTCCCTCTCAAGGCCACCGAGTCGGACATCACCCATGGTCTCCCAGCGTCGCTCTATCCCAGCCGCACCTTCATGGGGGGTTCCAACGCCAAGCTCGCGCCAGCAGCTCAGCTCCAAGCCATCAAGGACTTGTTCTCTACCCACGGTTCCATCATCGTAGAGGATCTGATCAGAGACCATGGTGACGAATCTTCCGTCAGGCTTGTTTGCGACGACGAATCCGACGCGAGACGGATAGTCAAAGAGCTCAACAACACGATCCAGAAGTCTTCTGGTATCAGTCAGTTGTTTGCAGAGATCTGCTTCAACCTGGAGTACTCCTTTCCAGCAAAGTGGCTAGGTCACATGAAAAAGACAAGAATTCTCCACTCTACCGACGGATGGTCAGACAATATCGACAGAGACGTCGCATCCATCCGTATCACCTCCGCGATCAAGGAATCCATCCTCTTTAAGAGAGAGCTTATGGACTTGGTCATGCGCGAATACATGGATTCCTACGGAGATAACTGGGAATCCTGCAACTTTGCAGAAGGCCGGATGAGAGACTGCATCAACCGCGAGTGTGCCATTTGCTTCTGTCCTCCAGAGCAAACAGTACGAACCAGCTGCGGTCACATCTACTGCGCTGGGTGCTACGAACACACAGTCTTGTCAAACGCAAAGTCCCCAAGCGAGAACGGCATCAAGTGCTTCGGCGACTCTGGCAAGTGTGGCAAGCCCATCACCCTCCAAGAGCTCGACTCCCACTTGGGTTACCAGAGCGTGGACAAACTCATCGAGCGTTCTCTGAGCTCCTACCTGCAAGCCAACACCGCCACCTATCACTGCTGTCCCACGCCACGCTGCGAGCAACTCTACAAGGTCACTCCTATGGCGGCAGACAACAAGGGTACCATCCAGCGCTGCGTGGGCTGCCTTGAGATCCTCTGCACATCTTGTCACATGCCACACGACGACAACGTCACGTGCGACAAGGCGGAGGATCACGTCAATGCAGAGCTCTTCAGGTGTCTCAACATCAAGCCGTGCCCCAAGTGCAAGACGCCTGTCGACCGCTACGAAGGGTGCAATCACCTGGAGTGCAAATGCGGTGCCCACGTCTGCTGGCACTGCATGGCGGTGTTCGACAACTCTGGCGACTGCTACAAGCACATGACTGATGCCCACAATAGCATCTATGCTGGGCAGGCTCTTTATGATGCCTAGAGGAGGACGAATGGACGGGATCTGATGGGTAGCAGCTTGTGCCTGCGCATCGGGATTGGGTTGGAGAAGGGTTGGGTTTCATTTCACTGATTGGAGGTCACTACTGTAACCACTTGGGAGCTATCGGCGTTTGCGTGGTTTGGTTGTTTTGGAATACGGGAGCATGGCATAGCCTTGGATTGCTGTCAGACACAAGATGTCTAGACTTATTAACGACCAGTCATAAAATGACTAGGCGTATTACTGTTCGCCATAAAGTGGCTTGACCTACTATTACTACTGCTTTATACATTAATTGAAATGAAACCCTTACCCACAAACGTGCTCTTTCTGTGACATGGAATCAGCGATATGAGCCCTTCCGACGGTGGTGAATCTTCCTCGCAGTGTATGGTCTCCGGACTAGAGATCAAGTAACACACTAGTCGCACAAGCGAGACACCAGGATCACTCGAATGAGTCGAGGCTCTCGTTTGCAGTGTAAATTTCCCTGATGAAATGCCTTGAGGTCTCCCAACGGATTGGCTTGGCAGGTATCCCTCTTTTTCCACTTCTCATAGTCACCCATTAGGACGCTGCCGGTGCGCGGACCGTGAAGTCTGAGCTCCATCACATCACTTTCATCCATTCCGGATAACCCTATCTCAAAATGAATATCTCAAGCCTAGCCCACGTCGTAGCAGCACTCTAATCATAAGAGGCGCGCACTCGTGATTGAAGCTTGCTGTCAAGTGACAAGCCACGACCAGACCCTCTTCCCACCCGCACCACATCGCCCTCTTGTTATTTCTGATGTCTTATATGCATACAGTCTTGCTAAAGGGTTGAATTATCCCGCTCACTACTGATAAGACACCTTCAACGTCGATATGAGTTCTGACATCTGGCGTGTTTAAAGCGGGACGTCTTCACAGTGTGACAGCCCTGTGACCGGGGGAAGGTCCCTCACCCGGCCCCCATTCACCCGAAGCCAACAACACAACTCATGATGGCCTGATCACCCGAACACCGAGACAACAATCCCTTTCACTTATCATCCAACATTAGAACAAAGAACGACAATCAATAACCCCATACAAAGCTACACATACAAACTCCCCCTCAAGTGTAGATAATCCCCCCATCCACAACCTGCGTCTGCCCCGTAACATGATCACTATCCGGCCCCGCCAAAAAGCTCACCAGCTTCGCCACGTCCTCCGGCACGCTCGTCCTCTTTTGCGCAATTAGCTCGTTCGTGTATTTCTTGATGGTGTCTCCCTTCTTCGCGCCCGTCTTCTCGCCCAGCTTCTCGTCGATGAGGTCCCACATGGCCGTGCCGACGATGCCGGGCGCGTAGGCGTTGACGGTGATGTTGTGCTCGGCGTATTCCATGGCCGAGGCCTGGGTTAGCCCGCGGACGGCCCATTTGGAGGCCGAGTAGTGCGAGAGGAGGGCGAAGGGTTTGAAGCCTACTATGGAGGAGCACTGTGACGGAATGTTAGTCATGTTATATCTGTGAATGGGTTGGAGGGTATGGGGAGAATGCGTGCATACACCAATGATCTTTCCGGGGGTTTCGGGCTTGCAGTTTCCCTGCTTGATCAATTGTTTCGCGGCAGCCTGGTAGCAGTTCTGCACGCCAAAGACGTTGACGCGGAACATGTTTTCGAATTCCTCCTCGGTGAGGTCGAGGAGCGGCTTGACCTGTGCAATGCCCGCATTCGCGATCCTTCCTATTGTCAGCAACCAGCACTTCCTCATCTCTAAACAAAAGCAAGCGCCACTCATGAATGAACTCAATAAGTAGACGAAAAGGAAGCTTACATGGTATTCAAAGGGCCAAGCTCGCCAACAGTCTTGTCAATCATGGCCTGCACCTCACCCAGCTTCCTCACATCGGCAGTCGCAACAACGGCGCGGCGGCCGAGGTCGCGGATCTGCTTGGCGACGTCGTGAGAGCCTGCCTCGTTGGCGGCGATGTCGTTTATGCAAACGTCGTAGCCGTCGCGGGCGATACGGAGGGCGATGGCGCGGCCTATGCCCCGCGAGGAGCCCGTCACGATGGCGACGCGGCTGTGAATGGGTGTCAGTCACGGCATTGGTTTACCCTGTTGAATCCATTGGCGAATCATATACACGGGTGAGTGTATCCGGGGATGTGAGGTATCATTGTGTGTGAGAAGATGACGGACCTAGCTTGAGCCGCGGCTCTGGTTGCTCCTGCGAGTCCACTCATGTCTACTGAGGTTGAAAATATGCTGGAATAATTCTGATTAAGATCCGATGAGACTATGGTTCAGATACAATGGAAAACGATACAATTGAAGCTCAATGCATAGTGTCTTCCCCCCTCCCTTAAGAATAAGAACGAGACGATTAACCCCAAGCAAGACCCCGCAGCAACAGCTCATAACGCGGGGTCAAAGAAGACCGAGAAAGCTCCTCCCACTTACTCCAAAGTCTCCAACGAAGCCGGAAATCATGTAACGATCCCTACGTCCGGCGAGAAGGATTGCCCAAGCCCGGCCAAGCCAAGCACCAACACACGCGGAAAGGCGGAAGCGGCCAGTGTCAACCTTCTGGAATTGAAATTGTCTTGAAGGTGGATCTCCAAGGCGGGGCACACAGCTTCACAGGTGCCAGGGCAGTTCCCATCTGCAGGGCTGCAGCTCCCCCGGACACCGAAGCTTCTCGGATTTGGAAGCTTACCTAAGACAGCTAAGGGTACCTGACTTCGTACCAAAAACCCGTGACCCGGCAGAGAGAGAAGCGGGTCCACGTTGGAAAAGGATCTCCGAGCCGGCCGCCCCCGATTTGTCATGCACTCCACGTTTTCCGCCCCGAGCCACCGACTCTGGTCCCTGGCCAAGTGGTGACTCTGACACTTTTTTCTTCTAAGGTGAGCAGCCCCTAAGACCCCCCCGAGAGCTCCAGCGCAGGCGTGGCGACAACGGGATCCAATGGTTTGGAATCCGTCTGACGCAGGTGGCAGTGTAACCAACTTTATATACATTATCGCAATTGAATCCAAATCGCATCTTATTTTCTTCCTGCAACATAATATCTTGTTTGTGTAATCAATCTTTGGAATCATCACTCTTCTGATTGCATAAAAGACGTCCGAAACACCCGTCTAATCACCTTCCCATTACAACCAGCGCACCAAAACGACAACCACCCCTCGCAATACCGCCCAAAAATCACGATTGCCCCCAAACGCAAACCCCACCACAAGCTCCAGCAGCTGCCCCTCCTCACCCTCGCCGCCCTCGGCCTATTTCTCACCCTCTGCTTCACCTCCGCAACCTTCCTCCCACACAACCACCAGACAATGATCTCCTCCCTCTTCACCCGCCTAACCCGCCCCTTCACAACCACCACCAGCATGTCAATCACGCCCCCCGCCCCCGTCTCCCTCCCGGAAGGCGCCCAAAAAGCCACCATCGCAGCAGGCTGCTTCTGGGGCGTGGAACACCTCTACCGCAAACACTTTGCCTCCAAGGGCCTCATCGACGCCCGCGTAGGCTACATCGGCGGCGACCTCTCCAACCCGACCTACCGCGCCGTCTGCGGCGGCGACACAGGCCACGCCGAAGCCCTGCAAGTCGTCTTCAAGCCGGAGGAGGTGAGCTACCGCCAGCTCCTCGAGTTTTTCTACAAGATGCACGACCCCACGACGGCGAACCGCCAGGGTCCCGATACGGGGCCGCAGTACCGCAGCGCGATCTTCTATCACGATGAGGAGCAGGAGAAGATTGCGAAGGAGGTTACGCGGTTGGCGAATGAGCAGTGGTATAAGGGGGCTATCAAGACGCAGGTTGCGCCGGCGGGACAGTGGTGGGATGCGGAGGCGTATCATCAGCTGTATTTGGACAACAACCCCGGCGGGTATGAGTGTCCCAGTCACTTTTTGAGGACGTTTCCTCCGCTTGAGGGATGACTCCTTGACGAGGGCGAACATGGCGACAGGACAGGGGATCAGGGGAATCGAGATGGAGGGGATAAGGTGGTGAAGAGGACGAGTAGGATGTAACGATATGGGGTTTCCTTTTCAACTTGAGGGAATCATAATGATGGATGGGATGTATCGGGTGGCATTCTCTAGTACGCACGTAGAGGCTCCGAGGCAATGAATAGCGCTCAACCGCTTTGATTTTAAAACTGTGTGCCATCGTGAGTGTGCATTTTGTGACTTCTGGCTTCACGATGGGGTAGTGATTATTACTTGGCCAGACCTGGAGGAGGTAGACAGCAGTTGCACTATCTGCTTCAGCCGAGGTAGTGCGGTGCGTCATGCGTCGTGATGCATATTTAGACGAATAAACTTGTCACAGTACAGTCTTGGTGGGAAGCATAGTTAACCAAGTGTATGAATTTTGTTTATTCTGGTATTGTACAACATAAAAAAACCAACTCCGAGCCGGTGGGTCTCTTTGGAGTCGTATCATGAGAGGGGTTCTCGAGCCTCTTTTCTCCGCCCGCCGTGGGGTATATACACCATCCCACTGGCGGGATTCCATTATCCTATCCTCCACTGCTGCTACACTTCAACCTCAATCTCTCCTTTACTTCCTGCGGTTCTGCTGCATCATCAGAATCTGCACCATGCGGACAAAGATGTTGATGAAGTCAAGCTCAAGCGCAATGCTCTCGTTGACAGCATCCTTGCGAATGATGCCGCGCTCAGCAAGACGGGCGTGGTGCAGGATCTTCTGGACGTCGTAGAGGGTGAAGCCGCCAAAGACGGCGAGGCCGCCGTACAGCGAGATGCTCTCGGTCAGGGCGAGGGTGCGGACGGCGGTGACGGGGAGCAGCATGGGCGCGAAGCTGGAGGCGACGACGACGCCGAGGCCGGCGAGGAGGGGACCGCCGATGTAAAGGTACTTGTCCTGCTTGGCGGTGGCACCGACGATGGAGAGGGAGCCCATCATGGCGACGGTGTAGAGACCTGCACGAGCGAGGAGGGCGCCGGGAACCATTGTCAGGAGGGGAGCGATCATGGCGGCTTGGGTTGCGTTGAAGGCGGCCCACATGGCGTACTTGGGGATGTAGCTGTTGATGCGTTAGTGTTTGCTTCTCGGATTCTCAGCATATAATTCTCGACTTACTTGTCAGGAGAGATGGCACGGGTACCGTACATGGTACCGAAGCTAAGAGCAAGACCACCGATACCAACAACCCAAGGGTTCGTCACCATCAACCGGTAGACGAATCCGGACTGGATCATCTGGCGCGCGCTGAGGGCAATGATACCGACGCCGAGACCGGTGTGAAGGAAGGTATCGTTGAGATACTCGCGCTCGTAGACGGGCATGCCACCGTCATCGCGGGTCTCACGGTTGAAGACGACGTTGATGGCGACGAGGGTACCGCCAAAGATGGCGCCGCCAACCAACAGCTTGCGGAGAGGGCTCGCCTGGCCCTGGACGCCAGGTGCGGCCTGTTGCATGTAGGTTCTCGAGGAGCCGCGGAGGAGAGCATTGCGGGCGGCGATGGCGACGGAGGCGGTCGGTCTTGACTTTGATGAGGCCTGGTGGAAGGCTCTGGTGGCGGTTGTGCGGAAGGGCTGTGATAGTTGCGGGAGACGCTGCGCCAGGCGCGCGGGCCCTTGGCGGAGTGTCATGCTGAATGACATCGTTTTCGTGTCGATTCGCGTGCGGATATGTGTGTGTTTGCGATACGGGAGAGAGAAAACAAAGGAGATGTGGTGGTGATTGACGATGTTTAAAGACCTGCGTGGAGGAGTTTCGCGGGAGGCAATGACGAATGACGTTCCCGATTCTGGCGGACTCTCGGGGCCGGAATTTGCCTGAGGTGCTTCCCATCCGGGTGGGTTTGGCTGAGGCAGCTGCTTAGCTAACTTTTTTTGCGGTCATGTGAGTGGCTGGAGAGAAGCTGGTGGAAATTCCGGTACCTTCTCTGCGCTGCCGTCCGCCTTAACCCCGATCCACCCGGGCGGACATTGGAGTTTGGCGACCAGCTGCCACCAGGTCAACGAAAAATCCCCCAGCTGGCAGCGGAAGTCTTCCCTAATCCCTCGGCTTCTCCTCCGATACAGCTGCTGAAGCTCTCCTTGTGGATAGGGAAGACCCACAATACCGATTAGGAAGTTCCGGGGGGACTTAGATAGGATATATATATAGGCCTCGAGCCACATAACTCCTAGCTAGCAATCTAACCTCCCTTTTATATATTTAATATTACTTTATTTATACAGCCTTTTATTAACGACTTATATAGGGATTTATTAACGACGATTATTAAGATTATTAAAATCTATTAAAGGTATTAAAAAACTACTATTAATAATATTACTTTAACTTTATTAAATTATTAGCGTCTATTTAATATAAGTATAGCTCGATTCGGGGTAGAACGGTCTATTATTAACGTTAATAAAACGATAATTAAAATAATATCCTATTTTTTATAATTAACGTTTATTATTTTACTTCCCTTTTTATTAATCTATTAATCTAAATTAAGCTATAGTATATTTATACCCCTCCCTATTATAACTAATTATATTAGTCCGTCTAGGATTAACTTAATTGTTAAAAGCTCGTACTCTATTTAAGTTAATATTAATAAATAACGACTATAGGTATATTATATTTAAACGGGATATAATAGATAGATCTCTATTATTTATACTATAGATAGGTAGTATATAATTAATAGTAATATTAATAGTAATAATAGGAGATCGGAAGTTAATATTAGTTCGGTGCTATTTAATTTTATTTTTAGTATTTCTAGACTTATATTAAATTAATTTAAGTAGAGTAGATTAATTAATTAACGATATTATATTAGCGGTAGACTAATTTTATATAGGTAATTATTTAGAGGACGAGCCGGAGCTAACTCTATCTAATATAATATTAAGCCCGCGGATATTAACGCTAAATTATAAAATATTTAATAGCTCCGTAGCTATATCTCGATAGCTCGTATAATTAAAGTAGGACTTTAAACGGGTAGGTTACGATTTAATAAATATACCGGTATTATAATATATTAAGATTTTAAATATATAGTACGAAAAGGATACGGTAATTTATTTCGATAGTATTTTATATTTATTAGCGATTATTAAAAAAGTAGAAGAAGGGATAGCTATTATTATTAATATAATAACTCTAGATATTACGTTAAAGGAACGTTTCCCGGTATAGATAATAGATTACGATTTATTAATAAAAGATATTAATTCTTTATATTAAAAAAAGGATAAAGTATTTCTAGTTTATTATAATAGGGCTCTATCGATATTCTATAAAGTTAGTTATAGAGATTTAATTACCGGGATTACTTTAATAATATTAAAATAGATAGTATTAATATCCGTTATAAGATAATTTATAAAGGGACTAGCCAATATAGGACTCCGTTACTAAGTATTATAGATATTAGTAATAGTATTTAATAGTTTAAGAGCGGTATATAATATAGTTAAAAATACTTAATAAGTACTAAAAGAGAGAGAAGCTAAAAACCGTCGAGTTTATAATAAAATATATATTAAAATACTAGAGGACGTCGTTATTAAATAGAATTTAAGATAGCTAATTAACTAAGTTATTATTTATTAACTAGCCTAGATATAGTTAATAAACCCGGTAGCGGCTAACTACCTCGGTTACCTAAATTAATTATAACCGATAATATTCCCGTTTTTAATTTTATAATTAATAAGCGGTTAATTAACCTAAAGAATATAGTAAATTTAACCTTAATAATAAATATAAGTATAATAATAGCTAGCTAATACTAACGCTCCTCCGCTATATTTTAATAATAATTAAAGCTATATATAATAGTCAATATATAACTAATAATAGTTAAGCTATAATTAACTCCCTAAGTAGTTTAACGATAGAGGAGTATATTAAGCGGGGTATAATATAAGTCTAGATTTTATAAAAAAGGATAGTAACTTATTTAAGCTCCTAAATAAAAAGACTTTATTTAACGAATTCGTTAATAGAAAACGCATCCCTAAAGATAATAATATTATTTATATTTAATATAGTACTAAGGGTTATAAACGGCCCGACTATATAGGCCGATAATTATAACTTTAGGAGTCGGTATATATTAAAGCGTTAATATTCCTATTTAATAAAAGCTTTAATATAGGATAGCGCCCCCTTTATAAAATAATCGACGTATATTTAGTTTAGATATACTATACCTAGGATATAGTATAT